GGGAGCGCGGAAAGGAAAGGCGGAGCTGGAGCGGAAAGGAGCGGGGCGTTGTGCGACGGCGAGGAAGCGACGGGGCCGGGATGGAGCGGAGCGGCTGGTTCCCGTCCGTGGGAGCCACCTCGGGCAGCCGCGCCGTGGCCCGGGAGGAGCCAGGGGGCTCGGGTGGAGAGAGCGAGCAGCCGAAAGCGCTGCGCCTCCGTCCGCCAGAGCCGGGGTGCAGCTGGTGCCCGGGAAACATAGGAGAGTCACCCGGAGCTTCCCAGGAATGGTGTGCAAGCAGGAGCAGTGACATGGTCATACGGCCTCGAGGTCGGCGTTCTTTCTGTGGGAGGCCGTAGCCTTGCAGAGGGCCCTAAGGAGATAGAAAACTCCTCGAGGAGCTATCGAGCTGCTGTATCAAACAAAAACCACACCAAACCCGGTGTCCCTACTCTTGCAAAAGCAGAGCTTCACAGTGTCTTGAAAATCAATAGCAGAAGACGCTCTAGTGCCCGCAGAAATGAGTGTACATTTCTTAAAATAAGAAGAACATTAGGTCGTTGAAGAGTGTTGTAGCCCTGTAGATTGTTGTGTCAGCTGAAAGCTTACGAGGATGACGGTACTTTTATTTTCTTAGTGGGCAGAGGAAAAAGAATTATCAGAGAGAATAGGACTTGGGGGGGTGTCTCCAGAAGATACTCTGTTTTGTGAAAATCTCTGATTGAATTAATTCCAAAGTTTCTCTTGACAGACTGTCCCAGGCTCTTTATGTTAATGTTTCTCTTGACAGACTGTCCCAGGCTCTTTATGTTAATCAAACATAAAATCAAACTTACATCCCCAGCACTTTGAGTTAAGCCACTGCTTTTATATTACCAGGAGCAAGCACATAGAACAGGTTAAGTATTGCAGTTAGGTATGTCCTTATAAGGAGTTTGATTTAAAAGTTGATGAATTCTAATTAGTAAAGGTTAGTAAAGAACTTTCGAAAATTGTGAAACTTGTAATTCTCCTGGATGCAGTTGGAGCCAATGATTTTAATGATCCTTGTTCAGTGACCAGTATGCTGTTCAAGACATTGCTCCCACTGGCAGTTCCGAAACCAAACTCTGCTGTGCAGCAGCGCCCTGCAGCTCCCTCAGCAGGACTGATGGCAATGTGCTGCCTACCCTTGACTACTGCAAAGCAGAGAACTGACAGCTTTTGACAGGCTTTGGTCTTCATCTTGAAGCTGAAGGCCATAACCTCGTTGTGTTATGCCTGGAGTAAAACCGGGAAGCATTGGGCACTGGAATCAGGGGCACGGCTCAGGATTCCATCATCAGTAGAGCTTAAACCAGGGCCTTTGCCACTGAAGCTGGAAATCAGAAGAGGCAGTCATATCACTGTAGGGGATCTGCTGCCGCAGCCTCTGACTGGGAGCACACATCGGGATGAGACTGCTGATGAAAAGAATTGGGCATTGTGGTGTCACAAACTCAGAGGACACTGCTCCAGGTCAGTCTGCACATAGCTGACCTTGTGCATCTAGAGAGCTTGTTCTTTCTTGATTTGAAATGAAATCTGAGGAGCCCAAGAGAAGCACTCTGCCTGTCTGGGAGAGGTGGCAAGCATTTCTACTTAGCCGATGAAGATTGTCTGCAGACTTTGCTTTATTTATATAATTTGGCCTCCTTAAACTAGCTGCAGATGCACATCCTTAACAACTGGTTTCAGAAGTATACAAGTGAGCAACTTTCTTCTGGGAGTATTTGCCAAAGCATTCTATAAAGCCCCTCAAGCAGCATGTTTCTGACTTTTGCAAGAGAATCTTTAATCTTTTGAGAATACAAATACAAATTGCTGTCACCCCCACTTTTATAGAGAAAGAATAGAAGTGAAGGCACTTGTACTCTGACATGATTTCTGAAAGGGGAAACACTCAAAGTTAGCAGTCACGTTTTGAAAGCTGAAGCTTAAAGTATTTCATTAATACACGCTTAATAAAAGTGCAGACATAAGTTTCACTTGGGAAGAAAGAATCCATATCTGCCGATACTCTGGACGGTACTAACTGTCAAAATGTGCAGTCTACTAAAACCACATAATTCTTCAATGTGTGCTGTGAATAGGGAAATTTCCTTTTCTTTCCCTTCCCCTCTTTTCTATATAGCTCACAAATATAGAAATGTGGATAACTTAAAAAACCACATTTGTCAGAGTGATGTATTTTTCATTGTCCTAAGGAGAGACAATCAGTGCATTTACATTATTAATTTTGATTCAGGATGCAAGACACTCTCGTCACTGAAGTGCAATTTACAGTTGTAGAGAGAAAATTAGCTAATATTTAATTAATCAAGGGTTTGGTTACTTTGTACTGTGGATAAGAAATTCAAATTCCTACCATTTCAAGAGGGAAAACAATAATTACACAAAGATGGTGGGTAATTTATTTGTTCTGTATTGACTAGTGAAACAAAATACCAGCTGTAATTATGCAACCTTAATTCCTTTATATACCGCAGCTGAATAAAATATTTGACCAGAGGTGTGGCCTGTATCAATACCATAAATGCACTGCCTAAAGTATATGGTGTTTATTTGTAAAGCAGTATGTTATTATCAATTTACCACATGATGTACTGTTTATTTAACACAAGGCTATTTGTTCTTGTTAATCTAATGTTGTTTAGCTAGAGATAACAAGGTTATTACTTTTCAGCGAAAATAAATTAGTGTTTACAGTTTTAGGGAAAGACATCATGCTAAATAGCAGCTAAGAATTGGTTGTTTTCAAACTGCTGTTGTAATTACAAAGGAGTGAAAATGTGTACGGTCCTATAGATAAGACAGATTCTTCTCTGTGTGGTGAGAGAAGTATCTCAGAGAAGTTGTGGACTCCCTGTTGCTGACAGTGCTCAAGACCAGGCTGAATGGAGCTTGGACCAGCCTGGTGTAGGGGAAGGTTCCCTACCCATTGCAGGGGGGAGAACTGGATGATCTTTGAAGTGCCTTCCAACTCAAACTGTTTTATGATTCTATGATAACAGTCTTTCTTCTTTATGTCTGCCTTTCATTGTTCCCTTAGTATCATGATATTCTGGGGGTATGCTTGAATAGCATCATGGAGTGATTCTTCTGGCCAGCAAGGACAGTAATTTGCACCTTAAAAGTAATTCTGCAAATGGTGGGTTCATCTCCACTTTTGCTTCCTGCTGTGTGTTCTCATCCCGATGTTATTTCTCATTAGTTTTGCTTCCTGTGTTGTGTTTTGTGGTTGTTTTTTCTGTTTGTTTGTTGGTTTTATGTGTGTGGTTTTTTGTTTGGTTTGGTTTGTGTTTCTGTTTTTGTTGGTTGAGGGGAAGTTGTTTGTTTGTTTGTTTCCCTGAAGGGGGAGTTATTAATGTTTCAAAGCTTGCCTAAGTTTTGCTTTTTGGCTCCCTTTAAAAGTTCAAGATTATTTACCAGACTAAAGGGTATGTCTGGCTGCAGTATCAGAATATCAGTGTGTGTTTTGTATCGACTAACTGTTGTTTCACAACACAGATAATAGAAATGTAATTTAAAATTTACTCAAATATTTCAGGGATTATAATGACATATGGAGAGAAAATATTTAACGGACAAACTTTACTACACAACAAAATAGCATTAAGTGAAATGTGCACATTTTATTTAATATAGCCTCAAGGCAAAAAGAGAACTTTAGATGCATTTCGTAACAACTCACTGAATTTGCTCTATTTCTGTTTTGCAGCTACCTATTATCTGTGCTGCAAATGAGAAACAGGGATGACCATCTGTGTGTCAAGAACAGTAAATTACGTGTGAAGATACTGTTTATTTACTCTAAGTGCCATTGGTTTGAATCCTTTTTAAAAGAACTAAGAGGTAGCACAATACTACATAAATGGTTGAGACATGGTCAAAAAGCGAATAAAAGATATGCTACAATCCAGACATGCCAAACAGAATTGTCTTGTATCTTGTTAGCAATAAGGCTCTTAGAAAGTAAGCTAATTATCATTAGTGTAAACCAGGTGAGAGGATTAAAAATAAAGAATGTGAATAAAAGCAGACATGATATCATGAAGAGTTCAGGGAAAATTAAGCCTTACATAAGACTGGTATCCTGAAGGGAAAATAAAAACTTTTTTGAAAATTTTATATGTTGTTCCTTTTTTAACTTCTCCCCTTCTCCCTGCCTTCCTTGCCCACCCTCCCCCCACTCCCAGTTTTGCTTATATGGGAAAGTGTGTACTATTTCCATTTTCTATGTTCATGGAGAGTTGGATGTATAGTTAGCAGTAGATTCAGTTCAAATGGCTCTTTTATTTATGACAACATTGGTTTTTAGCTACAGTTAGGAATTCCCTTCCTGAGACCAGTGGATGGTATAATATTTTCGCTGGAGGCTAATAGCTTGTGCTAATTATAGCACACGCTTGAAACAGATCTCATTTATTTCTTGGTATATAATTAAGAGTAGCATCACTTTAGCATCAGACATATCTCTTGAGCCTCTTTACTAGAGGGATCAATTAGAAACCCAGGCCAGTTCTCATAAAGAGAAAATAAAAAATAAAATTAAATAAATTATTAAAATTATAAAATTAAATAAAAAATAAATTTGATTTTTTCACAAGCTTGTCTGACTGCTTGTATCCTAAGAACTACAAATCCATGACCCATGTCCACTCTCCTGCCTGTCAAAATGGCTGAAAAGTGTTGACTCTCTTAATATTGGCTGACTGAGGTGATAAATATGCCAAATTCTGATGAAGTAAGCCACAGTTTTCATTTGGTGGGTACTTCCTTAAGAAATTATTTAAATAAGAAAAGGAGTTTGAAGATAAAGTGTCTAATGGACATGTGAACCCTTCATCAGAAGCTTTAGACATTACAGCTTTCCAGCTGGCTCTCCTAGGAGTGCCTTTAAAATCCTCTCCAGTGGAAATAATGTGTTTGGTTGTTTAACAATAAAAGCTTCTACTACAGCCAGTAAAATTCTTGCCAGATCTGAGGTGGAGGGTCTAGCCCTGAAAACCTTTTAGAACTGGAGTTCATATGGATCCTGGTGTGAATCCTGCGTTTGGTGTTTTAAGACATGATTGTTGGCTTAAGGCTCAAAAATACAGCCCCTTTAGTGTTTAAAAAAGAAAGCTGTTTTTCCTTCAGCAAAGATGTCAGTCTGCTCCAGATTTTTCTTTCTTAATGAAGCTATTTATTCTTTTTCAATTGCTATTTTCAATTATCTTTTTAATATATTTCTAGTACAGTCATTTGTTTATGCACAAAACTAGCAGTTAAAGTGAAGATCAGAATAAAAAGGTGAATATAGATACATTAAATATACTTTAGTTAGAGACAACCATAAATTAACATATATTAATATATCAGCTAAACCACAAAATCTTTAACTGGAATGTCTGTAAATGTAGAACAAATGTTATCTTTCTTTGCATATCGGTGAAAGGCCATTCAAATGAATTCAAATTTATATAGTGTTGTTTCATTACACCCTCATCTTTCATATTGTAAGTTGCAATGTGCAATGTCCTTCTGTCTGCAACATTTCACATGTAAAAGTTGAAGAATAAAGTGCACAAAACCAAAATCTGTTAAAAAAAAAAAAAAAAAAGAAGAAAATAATGGAAAAGGAATGAAAATTCTCTCTAAGCTCTATTTTTTATTTTCCTCATTGTTCCTCTGTAAAATGTTTGCAACTTTGTTTTCTTGGTGCTGATGTTTATGCATCAATAATTTGTTAAATGCAGCTACTGACATTTCTGCATAGTATGACATGAGTCATACTATGAATGACATGAGTCAGGTTTTATTTCAAACTGAATTGACTTGTGCTGTCTCCAGAGCATGACCAGCATCCCCTGTTTAAAAACTCTTAAAGCACTTCAACATTCAAGCCGTGGCCCTGCCATGGTTTCCAACGTATTGACATAGAACCCTAGTGCTTTCAGTATCAGTTTGACCATACAAATAAATTAGCTAAGTATCATATCAATCAATCTGCAAAACATATGTGTTTCTATGTTGCTCCTATCATTAACTCTGTGAAGGGAAATCCTTTAAAGAAGTAATAGTTGTTGTTTGAAAATAGCAGAAGGGAGAAAATAACTGGCTTACAGTCTGAACTGGATCAACACAACTGTGTCTGGAATTGCTGTACCAGCAGGAATCTCTTCTTGCTAATGTAATTTGTGTGTCCCTTTCTGAGTAGTAATTGCTCTGTTGCTTTTCTTAAATTAAAAGCCCGTATGACAGACAAGAATTAATTGAAGAATTGAAGAATTCCTATTCCTTCCTACGGCTTAGTGGACTGCTAATTGCTAAAGCAGGTGAGTTGAGGCAGGGATTGTTTATATGTATTTAGTTAAACAAATTTGTAAAATAAATTTTGATTGTCTTGGTCTATGGACATACTTATCTTACTCTAAAAATGACTTCAGGAGGTATGGTCCACTTGAAAACACATGTATAATTATTCTTTTCTCCATGGTACATTTTGCATGTGTGTGTGTATCTGCTTTGGAATGCTGCTTCTGTGGCCTCTCCTCTGTGTCTTTTGGCAGTGACTTTTGCATAAAAGCTTTGATAAAGTACTGTTTAAAATCATACCTTTTAGTTATTTTTCCTTCTATATCTGTGTAGCTGTATTCTAAACAGGTCATTGTAATTCAGCCTCTGTTTCTGACAATGTTACAAGGAGATTATTCACACTTGAAAGTTAATTCTGACTAAAGTAGATGTAAATTTAATTTCTGTAGCTATTGCTGAGTAACTCCACTAGTGGTTGTGCTTATTTTAACTCTGCTTATCCGAAATAACTTTCAAATAATGAGACTAAATCAGAATAAAGAATGATTCTCTAGGAAAAGACATGTAAAAACATGAAGGTGTTCAGAATGCCTGTAACTTATATTGTGGACAAGCTGTGAGAAGTCTTCAGTGGTACATGCTTGTAGCTTTTTTTTGGGAATTTCATGTCAAAAAAGTACCTTGAAGTATCTTTGTTGTTATCTCTGATGTCACTTAGATAAAATTTTTATCTAGTTTGAAACTTGCCTAAGAATTCTGCTTCCTTTGAAGGAAACTGGTGACAATTCTCTAAAACAAGTTATTTACTGGATTCCTGTTCCAGAGAAAAAGATCATTAGGAGCAGGGAGTCAACAGCTGGCGTGCTGAATGGTGGATGCACCAGTCTTTACACAAAGAGGGTGATCCAGTATGTCTGTAGTTTTACACACAAATTTAAATAATTTATGTAATCCAAGAAAGATTTTATGCCTTCCTCAAGTTCTTAGAAAGAGGTGTCACACATAAAGATGAAGAGCTATCTGCTGTGGGTATGAAAATTCCATTTTCCTGGATGCACTGTCTGCTTCTGTAAATTTTTGAGGCACTTGTGGGGTCGGAACAGTGGTTTTATTTTAAGCATAGCGTGCCACAATACTTTCACTGGAAGACTTGTGAAAAATGGAGGGCATGGGAAAATAGTGTGCATGAAAGCAGAAGTCTCTGTTACAAGGTCTCTTGACTACTTCAGCAACATGTCAACCTGGAATAACAAGCTTTCACTAGAAAGTTGCTGGTTCTACTTCTGTAAAAAGTAGAAGCTTGAAAATAATGACCATGAATGTAAAAATCCAAATTCTGCTCAGAATGAATCATCAGTGTGACCTTTGCAAAATCACCTTTGAAAAGATTCTGCATCAAAAGCAACATTTACTTAAAATTGGTAATACTGAAGTTACCACTGGCTACCACTTCTTAATGCTTTCTGTAAATGCTGCAATGTCTAGCCTGTCCCACTTCAAATTAACAATGCATGACTTGTACTTCTAGGGGGAAATGTAGTTGTACCACTCTTCTCAAGTCTGTGTGAAATAAAAGCTCTTTTCTCATTGAAGCTGTGGCATGACCTTGTCGAGCACTTCTTGACATGTAGAGTTCTAAAAGAGTGCACAACTATTGCACAGCAGTTGAAGACAAGAGCCAAAGGAGTGTGGAGTATTTAAACAAAAATGCTGTGGAAAATTTAGTTTGACAGAATGCAATTGCAAGAATGTGATTTAGTCAGAACTCCAGGGAAAACCTTGTTCACAGTGCAGTGGAGTTCTCTGAGGACCATAAATACTTCAGATATAAGTTTAATACTGCATCTAAAAGACAGTGAAGCCAATAATTCAGCCTGACATCATGCTGGCATATTATTTAATACTACATCTTAGAGGTAAGAATACTACCTGTGAAGTCATTAGTGTTAATGCCTGCTATCTAACTTAAAAACAAGCGCTATTTGACAGTTGCTTGTTACCTTAAAAAGAAAAAATCATGCAACATATATTTTATGCATAATAAACTTTCAGATTTAATAGTTTGTCAGAAGATTGGAGTATATAGTAGCACTTGGAGGAAACAAGTATTTGTGAAACTCTTAATTCTAGACCTGAAACAAACCCATTATCTCTGAGTGTGCAGAAGGAGCTGGGTGGGGGGGATTTTCATGTACCTTTCATGTACCTCTCACATGATTTCTTGTAAGATTATCTTGAGCTGGGGGATTCCATTCAGAGACCATTCATCAGCAAAACAGTCACAATATGGGGAGCTGGAGTTGGGGTTTTGTACCTAATGTTTTCTTTCTGCCAATCTTTTCTCCTTGTTTTCCTCTGCCCCAATGTGGTTTATACCCATGTAACCATATCTTTGGGAAGCTTCTGCCCTGGCATATGTTCTCTGTGAGTCAGTCCCTTTGGAAATGTCTCACTGCTGGTAGTGATCATCTTTGGCCTGTAGCTTTTCAGGCGTGTCCCTACTCTAGTGTGTATCACTAGTGGACCACAGTCCCTTCACCCTCACTGTGGGCTGCAGTCCTTTCAGATCACCTCCCCTGCATATGGAAACCTTCTGAAGAGCACATCTCCATCCTTGCCATCAA